AATTATGTATATTGTATTGAAACAGATGAGGGAAAGAGCAGCAGAGCTTCTTATCGCTAGGTTATCAGAGCTCCCTTTAGAGTTTGGGAGAGGACAGCCAATTATTAAGTTACTATTAACACAAAAAGTACACTTTTTTAACTTTTGTCCAGTCAGTTCTGATTCATGGTGACTCTGCATTGGGTTTTTGAGGCTGTAAATGGTTAAGAAAGGAGGCATTTAGTCTTTCTTCTAAAGAGCAGTGATGAACATCAGCTGCAGACCTTTTGGTTAGCACAGAATAGCTAACCAGCAGACCACAACTAGGCCCCCAGGGCTATAGTCATGTATAATGACAATGAAGACAAATACTTATATAAACACTGTATTGTCTTGTTGTTGTGTACCATGGAGTAGGAAGTGAGCATAGCTGACCCTCCAGCAGATTTTCAGAGGCAGTTAATCACCAGGAGAAGATTGCTCCTCCTTCTCCCAAGGAGCAGCCTGTGGATTCAAATTGCTTTTCATTGGTACTGCAGCACAGCTTCTTACCACTAGGTTATGTGGGCTATTTTGTTTTTTTACTTCTCCAGTTAAGCATACATTGGTTTTATACCATATTTAGTGATTTATTAAAATTTATAGTAAACTTATAATTTTATTGACTATAGTCTAATAATATTGTTGTTGTTAAGTGCCGTCGAGTCACAGGCGACTCAAAGCAACCCTATGGAGGAGAGTCCCCAATGCTCGGGTGCCTTTCATCCTCTCTCCAGGTTCATAGGGTTTCCAGAGGCAAGCTATTATGGAAGTGGATGCCACTCCTCCTTCCATGCTCTAATAATATTAAAATGCTTAATTTTACAAATTATATAATATTTAAATATTGTAGTAATAAGTTAAGGAACACTGATGGTATAGTGCTAGCTGGTTAACAACTAGCAGGTCTTTGGGAGAAAGATGAATAGTCCACTTTTGTTATGATGTTGCATACTAGTCTCTTGGATACATTCCTGGCAGTGGAATTGTTAGGAATGGAAGGTTGCTATATCAGAAGGACTTTGTGAGGTTGAACTTTATAGTAATAAGCTAAAATATTAATTATAAGTTATAAACAAACTTAAAATTATTTAGAACTAAATTTATTAAAGCATATAAATTAAAAGTCATTGATGTGGAGTTGGAAGTGACTGATAGCCGACCCTCTAGTGGGTTTTTAGAGGCCATAAATCACCTGAAAAAGGATGGAAGGAAACAACCCATCTTTCTCTTGGGAGTTCCTGGGGGATTTGTAACAGCTCTCTCTGAGTTGGCAATACAACAAGGAAAATGAGACAAATTAAAATGATAAAAGAAAATTAGTTGCTGAGAAGTCATCTAAGGCACAACTATTGGTATCTCCTTGTCTGGAACAAAGGAGAGAGAATTAGAGCAAAAATATATAAAATAATTAGACCAGAGGACTTATGAAGTGAGAACCTCAATCTCCAGGATCCTGAGTTTGGAAGAACTAGTTCCTTGCTACTAACGCTGTCTACTCTAAAAGGGCTCACACCAGAAGGTCCTGGTAGAGTGGATGAAAAATGTGGAATAAATTCAAAAGCATAAAAATGGCAAGCCTTATGGGTCCAATAGAAACTGGTGGAAGCCCCACAACTTTGACCGTTAGTCACTTTTTGAGCCTGGAACAAAACTTACCCCAGTGTCTTAATTTTTTGCCAAACAATACACAGACCTATAAGGAAGCTCTAGTCAGTAGGAAGTTGTGCTGCCAAACCAAAGGTGAGCAGTTTGAATCCACCAGGTGCTCCACGGAAGAAAGATGGTAAATCTTTGAGATTTACAACCTCTGGAAACCTGATGGAGGATCAGTTATGATTGAGTTTTGTCTCAACAGTAATAAGTTTGTTTTTTTTTTGTTTGATAAGATTATAAATAGGACCAGGGAAACAAATATTCCCTAGAATAATCAATCACATAAAATAAAAAGTACAGCAGTTTTCTTGAGTGTTAATCTCAGTGAAATGGAAGGAAAGGGGAAAATGGTTAATTGAAATAATCAGAGAGAGGAGGTGAGAAGAGTGTAGTTGTACATCCTGGAATTATTAATATAATAAAGCAAAATTGAAAAATTTGTATGAATGGTTACATGGTACATTATTTAGCCTTGTCAACTTGTACTCTACTCATAGTAAAAAGAAATTAAGTTGAAAGGAAAAATTAGGAAGAAAACATGCTGGTTCTGTAGAAAAGATAGTTAAGGAGATAAATATAACATTGTGTTTTCTTGTGACTTCTTTCTCACTCATTCTAGTGACTGGTCATCTTACGGGGCTGAACTTGTGTCTATACCCTTATTCTTCTTTCTTTCTGTGGCCAATATGTAATATTAAACCTTATTATCAGTTCACCCTGATTGTAGACTCTGACTTCCCCGCTACTGCCTCTTTCTTATTCTCCTGTTTTTCTCTTTCTGTCATTGTTTATATTTTCATATTTTAATTTTATTTGCCATAAATCACATATATGTTATAAATTGCATATGTTTTATATAAATTATAGTTGGTAAAAAGGAATATTGTTTGGCAATAAAATATTTACATTTATATGGTACTTAACATACCAACACGTGGATTTTCTCATCTACTTTAACTACAATCTTTAGTCACATTTTGTACTCAGTAATGTTGATATTCTGAAATTATTAAAGCAGCAATCTGAAACCATTAGTAAATATTGGAAACAAGACAGTTCAGCTGTTTTATTAGGATAAAGTATTATTTTCTGTCTTAATAATGTAACTTTTGTCTACTTAAGATCCTTATTGTTATAGGTATTTTTAATCTTGTTTATTTCTAGGTATTTTTAATCTTGTTTATTTCTCAAAATGGCTAACTCATCATAGTATCAACTGTTATTTTAATAATTACACAATACTAGTTTCATTATTGGGATTTTTTTTCACTAAGAACAGAATTACTTTCTCTTTTAAGTACTAAAAGATCGGAATATTAGTTTGGTTAAGAGCCTCATTGTGCAAAGATTAAATTGTTTAATGACCAGTGAGAGAGCTCTGGTAGTCTACTGATAAAAAGCTGTGATGGAATCGCAAAAGCAAGTGGTTCAAATCTACCAGCTTCTCTATGGGAGGAAAAGGATAGTCTCCTGTGCACTTTATTGCCTCTGAAAGCTCACTGGCTTTATGAGTCAATTCTGACTCAGTGACATACAACAACTACAAATAGCAATCTATATGTTTGAGCCCATTTGCCTATCAGTCCACGGTGGGTGGGGGGAAGAAGATGGGACAATTTGTTTCCACAAAGATTCCTGGCCTTGGAAACCCAATGACAATAGTTTGACTCTTTAGGATCTCTTTAAATCAGAATCTACTTGAAGATAGTAGTTTGCTGGTAATTGTGTTGATTCTAACAAACTCAGTGGAAACTGCTCCATAGATTTGTCAAGACTGACCTTTTGGGAGCCAATCTTAATTAAGGCTTGGTGACCTGCGTGGGTTTAAATTACCAGCCTTTAGGTTGACCATTTACCTATTGCACTAACCATCTTAACTATCTAAATAAGAATATAGTCTTAAATGACATTTACATGAGAAGCAGTTTAATTTATATAGATGTATATTATTTTGGCAGCTTCTTTCTTTTCCTCCCCCAGTTTACTAATGTTAACTATTCGGCTTCCTTGCCTTCCACATTAAATGGATGTCAAGGTGCTCTCAGTTCATCATATAAAAGAGCACAGTTTGGAACATTATTTGAGAGCTTAAATAGGTAAGTGAAAATGTAGAAAGAAAAAGAGCTATAGAGTAATTTCTTTCAGTTATTTACCTTGTAATGAATTTTTCAAAATTTTAATGAATTTTACAAATATTTTCAACTAGAAATAGAAACTGACTTGTAAAATATATGTAAAATACAGTGCTTAATTAAAATTACTTAAGTAATTATATGGTAATGTGCATGCACGTGGTATTCCTCGGAGCCAAGGATGATAAGACTTTGTCTCACATGCTTTAGGCATTTTATTAGGATGAGCCATTGCTTGGAAAAGTACTTGAAAGGTGGAAAGGTCAAAAAAGGAGAGGAAGATCTTCAACCAGATGGTTTGACCCAGTGACAGTTGCGATCAGCTAAAATACATCAAGAATATTAAGGATGGTGCAGGAAAGAACAGGGTTCAGATCTTTTCTTCAGAGGACGACTATGAGTGATAGTTCCATGCAACTCCAACAACAACAGTTTTTGGTTAGGGAATTCTGGTGGCCTAGTGATAAGAAGTTGCACAAACAACCCCAAAGGCACTTGGTTTAAATCTAGCAGCTGCAACACAGGGAGAAAGATGGGCAATCCCCCATTTGATTTACAGCCTCCGAAAACCCCTCCCAAGAGTCAGTAAGGAGTTATTTACAATTTCACTGTACATAACAACAATTTTAATATATTTACTGTAAAAATTTCTCTACGCTCCAGTGCAATCTTCAGAGTTTCTTCTGACATCCATTTTTGTCTTTTCTTCCTCTCCTGTCTTTGTAATGACCGTTTGCACTCTTCCTGGATGATACATTTGACATCCTCCCACAACTCATCTGGTCTTCACTCATTAGTGTTCAAGGCCTCAAACCTGTTCCTGAGAT